GTTTAGTATTCGTTGATCATTCGTTCGATTAGTGCCCAGGATTTGAGATTTTGAACTGTGAGCAGTTGCCTGCTCTTTTGTTCAGGTGTGTGTGTGTGTGTGTGTTTTTTTTTGGGCTCCTCTGGGGTTTCTGTTTGATTTTGTTAGATTGATGTGTAATTTTTTTATTTTGGGTTTTCAGTCAGAATATTTTATTTAAACTTTTTTTCAACAAGCTCTGTGAATTTTGAATGTAGTAAGAAATGAAAACTTACTCTGAAGTGATCTTTGCAAATTTAATCGGCTTGGATTGCTATTTTTTAACACAGGTTAATCATCATTCTTCGAAAATGAAAGACACAAATAATGTTTATTTCTGAAAAAAAAAATTTGTATCAAGTATACTCCGATCACCCGACCGAAAATCTGAATAACCCGAATAACTTATTCGGTTATATATGAATTACTTTGTGTTATCAGTTCGGGTCTACCCGTTTGTACCCGAATACCCGAACACCCGAATTCTCAAACCCGTGCACCCGCCCGTTTGACCCAATCAACAAGCTGGCATGGAACTGAAACCACTTGCTTTAATTGTGTCTTTATCTTCAGAGAAATGAAAAAAGTAACTTTTGTGAACTAGTATTAATTTTCAAATTGACTTCATCTCCATTTTTTCTTCCTCTTTTTCTTGATTCTTTTCTATAGACCCTAGAAGTTCAAATACAAGAGAGGTACATTATTTCTTGAAAGATTGCAGTATAACTATAGTCTATCACAAAAATAACACGCTGACTATTCATGGCCAACCTAAGAAGTTTCTAAACCAGTGAAGAGATTTGGAAATATATACTGCTTGTGGTACTTAATATAAGTCATTTTGATTTGTCATTTCATAAAAATTAAAAATTTAGAGAATACAACAAATGTGAAAATATATTTTTAAGGTCTTTTTATCAATTAAAAATACGTACTATATAAAATCCAAGACAAATCAAAATGTCTTATATTAGGGACCGGAGGAAGTGTATACAGTAGAACGTCGGTAAATTAATAATCGATAAACTAATAACTTCTAACAATTAATAATTTTCTCTGTCCCAACTTGGGACCAGTACAAAAAGTGAAGAAAATCGATAAAATGATAAGATAATAATATTTCAGAAGATCTCCTATATATTTATAGGTCCCAACAACACCATAAATTAATAAATACACTAAAACCAAAAAAATAATAAAAATAACTACAAAAATTTAGTACAATATAAAATATTGATACTTTTTTAGTCATTGGAGATGATATGAACTATGTATGGATTCAAGTATTCAAAAGAGTTTTTAATACTTGATTAATTCGAATGTAAAGACAATTACAAATTATGTAATCTAGTGACGGTTCTTGTTTCTTATAGAAATTCTTTAAATTAATAATTTATTAATTTATCGATTATTTAATAATTCTCTAAAATAATAAATTTGGTTGATCCCAACACTATTAATTTATAGAAGTTCTACTGTAATTAGTTCAAACAAGTGATTAACACTGACCCATCCATCCCATTTAGCAAATCAAAATGATTCCAATTTCACAATCAATGCAAAAGTATTAATAAGAACAGCGGACTTTATGACTATAAAATTAGTTAATTTGATTAATTATTTCAATATGAATAATTACGAACCACTGATTATATCCTGTATCCAATTTGAAAATGGTGGCTCCCTTCCTGTCCAAAACATCTCAAAATCAATCTTTTGTTTGTTAATCGTTCCGTCTCTGAAAAAATATCCACTTTAATGAATTAAAACAAACAAAATATATTATTGTTTTTCGGACGGATAGAGTATTAATTATTATTTGATGAAGATAATACCTCAACAAATATTAGGCGTAATTAATGGATCGGGAGGAAATTTTTCTTTGGCTAATGTTTAGTTTGCTAGTTAAAGCCCAAACACAAGTTCTGGAAAAGTTCGAAGGTTGTCAAATCTTATTATGAAAACCAAAATAGGGTAAAAATGTGTAGTTTCTTAGTATAAACACGTCCTAATCTATGCTTAAAATAGTTTAGAATGGATCTTTTAAACTTAAAAGATTGAGTGATTTTAATGGAACTGAGAAAGATACCCGATGTTTGTTGAGAGAAATTCGTTATATACCCTCTTCGGTCCTTATTATAAGCTATTTTGATTTCGTCTTAGGTTTCACATATGATGTTTTTTTTAATTAGAATAAAAATCTTAAAAACATTTCATAATAATAAGTAGGAGAACACAACAAATACGAAAATATATTTTAAAGATTTTTTTCCAATTAAAAAAATCCTAAATTAAATTTAGAACGAAATTAAACAGACTTATAATAAGAACCGAGGGAGTACTTAAGAAGGCAACCATGATACGTAATTTTTCTAAAGTTTGCAATGATGTATTCCTCCTTAGAGTAGGATTCAAAGATCGAAATCACCATAAATTATGTCTTACTATTTCGAGTATGTGTCTTAACTAATTTGCGGTTTTTTTTTTCTTGAGATATGATCGTCCTCTTAAAATATATCGAAATTCATCAATTCCAAAATGTTTTCAAATCGAGATTTTTTTATCTTACATTACATGTCATATTTAAGACGAAAACGAAAATAAAATGTTTTAGGGTTGATTTTCTGAACTACCTCTCTTTTTGACTTTTTTTCCTCTGAAAATTTTGTTGAACTTTCCTCCTTTGCTTCCAAGTGTACAAATACGTACACCGTCCAACTTTCCATTTCAATTTAGTAGTAGTACACGATTTTCAGTTATTCGTTTATGAAATTTCTACCAGGTGTACAAATACATTTGATCTGGAAAAAAAAAACGGACAAATATTTTTTCTGTATCAAAGTGAAAATTTATTTGACATAACGATTATTTTGAGACAAATTGATTAAGAAAAATAATGTCAATGTATGTTCACGACCAAAAAAAAAAAAAAAATCGGAAATACAAAAAGATTAATTTTGAGCACTGATATCATCCAACCATCATCATCACCAAATTAATGCGTACTTAAGAGAAAATTAACAACTAATCTCAAAAAAAAATCTAGGTGGAGGTAGGTAAGAACAAGTATTTATATGTTATCTAATCAGAACAAATTGACAATAGGATCTCATGATTAAGATCTCACAAAAATGAAGATTTCAGACTTTTCTGGGTAGAACAACCTCAAGCAAATAATAAAATCTCTTTCTTTCCTTTTTCTTTTTTTTTTTTTTTTTTTTTTTTGCGCCGGGAGATTGTGGATCATGCAAGTTCTAACATTTGTAGAAGTAGCAGAAATGCTTTGTTTTGATGACTCCACGTCTTAATCTTTCGAAACAATCAAATTCCTTTGTTTAATCTTTTTCTCTTTTTTTTTTTAATAAATTCCACACTAAAATTTGTTCCTTACATGCTTTAGTAACATGAGGTGTAGAAATTAAATAATTAATTTTGTGGGCTCTAAGATTCAGTTATCACACATACTACTACTCCTTACTTCTCAAAGTGGTTATCCTGTTTGTTGTAATACTAATAATAATAATATATGTATATATATAATAATAAGTATGGCAATAATCAAATTAGCTCTTTCAAAACCACTGGTTTAAAATTCCATTCATCTCAAAACCAAACATTTTTTTTTTCCTTTTTGGAGGGAGAGAGTATAGTTTTATCGAATGATCTTGTGTTCATAAGGTGTCTTTTAACCAAAGACTAACACAGAAAACGCGAAATTAAAGGGAAATGGTGACTTTTAGCGTACTAGATTATTTTGCTTGTAGATGGTTCTAGTGACTTCCATTCCCTCAAGAGAGCTTTATGCGTCTCTTAAAATTTAAGTACAAACTAAGTGACATGTTCGTAAGACTTTACATTAATTGAAGATGGAATCGTTTCGTACCCCAAATATTTTATTCAAGCTGAAATGTTGTCATCATGTTCATACTAAACTTAACTTATCATTTTCCTTGTAATTATGAGACAACACTTGCAAAGTTTGATGTATTGCATTTGTACTCGTGACTTGATACGTAAAGAATTCCCTATTGCAAAAAAAACAATTTTCTCCCTCTAGAAGGATAAAAAAATCCCAATTTTAGACTTCTTTAGAAAAATTAAAGAATAGCCCGGTCTATACACGTTATAATAAGTTTGAGGTCATCTGAAGTTCGATGCATTAATTTAGCATGGCATTTCTTTTTTCCCGCTTCTTCTGTCACAAAATTATTATCTTTTCCGGAACATAGAAAAATCTTGCATTCACGCTCCTGTTTGACTGCCGCTCGGAAAACATGGTCAGCATCGTCAGTCCGTTTGCATCTGGCAATCTCGCCTCTGTTTGACTGTCACTAAGGGAATGTAGCATGAGGCACTGCAGGGGAATGCAGTTGTTGATAGGTGGTTAATTTTAGGCTTCATTCTATGACGTGATTTTATTGTCGTCCCCATATTCAATGTCATTTAGTCATATCATCACCACATTTAAAGTGACTCTGAACAAGTTTACTCAAAGTCTAATCAAAATTCAAGACGAGTAGATATAAAAATCTAGCAAGTCCCAAGAAATAATTTTAGACTGCAGTTTGGTCCGAAGCAATTTGCGATCAATGTCGATAAATTTTCTTTATCCATATGGACGACCCTTAAACTAATTGATGATCACATATACAGTCTATCATGCTCTTGTAACTTATGCACGTGGAAAAAATTAAATCATAAAAAAGTTACAAATACACAAAAAAAAAAAAAACAGGGAAAAAAAGGGGGCAAAAATACACTATTAGGCCTACAATAAACAGTACAAAATAGATTACATCTACAGTACAAGACCCCCTTCCCGTTTTATACAAATAATATTTTATATAGAAAAATTCTCCCATAGATCGCCATATGAATCTAAGAAGCTTCATTTCACCATACTTGACTTACAAAACTTTCTCCCAGGAATGACTGCCGAAATATGCAAGAGAACCCTTTCCGTAGACGAAAATGTTTGTCTACTACAATCCAACCCACTTTACCCATCTGAAAACTCTTCCGACTCTGAATGGCAACTCATAGTCTTTAGTTACAGCAGGTTCCCTTCTTGCAGTATCGGGATCAGACCATACATACACCCCACGTTCCTGTTGACTGCCTGGTACGGTATTATCCAGGATTACCGCCACTAGGAATGCAATCAACATATTAAGCGAAAGCAATGTATTCAGCACATAGTTCAGCTGCACAATTCAAATATAGAGATCCCGGTCAGCACCTCAAAATTGAAAGCAATAAATGTCAGAACCCGGGGGGAGGGGGATGGGACAGAGAGGGTAGACGACGATAAATTTATTTCAAGAGACATGCGTACCCCTCCATTTTTGGTGCGAATCGGACCATGAGATGCCACAATGTAAGGTTGATAATAACTAGCAACTGCTAAGTTTGTATTTGGGGAGACGCCATATTGCTGGAAGTATGATGGTATTGACAGTGAGAGAAACAAAGACAGCCCAACTATAATTATGTTCCTCGAGCTCCCTGCTTCGCTGTATCTTAAATTTGACAAACCTAATGCTGTCAGCATAGCCCACATGAAGCACAACAGACCTGCGACCATGACCTCAGGGATAGAAGCTAGAAATCCACCAACTTTACCTGTTGACATGGAATTCAAGTACTACCATAGTCATTCTGAGATTTAAAGCATTATTCTCCAGAAATATGCATAAAATTAGTTTAAGAATGAAACTGGAGCTTGCATATGAAAGAAACTGGAATAAGTCATATCAGCTTGCACCCAAATACACACTTTCACCTTTTTCAAAAAAAAAAATACACACTTTCCAGAGAAGTAAATGAATTTCTCTTATCTGAAGCAACTAGCAATTGCTTTCTTACTAAATAAACATACTTGAGCCCAAATGTTACTTGCTTTCACTATTCATATCAAGGACTTGTTAGTCCCCAAAAGCAAGGAAAAAACTTCTACCAGGATGCAAATTATAATCGTGAGCCTGGTAAAACCACTTTACACTGAGTACAGTATAAATAGTTACTAGGCACTTTCAATATCTGAAATTATAAATGTAGCAGAACGTACTTCTCGAAAATAAAATTGCAAAAGAAAGAACAAGCATAAGCAAGTTACTCTTCATAAACAATTTCTGCACTATATAATCCAAATAAGCAAAAAAAAAAAAAAATTTCCCCTGTAAGTATTTTTAAAATTAGAACCTAAATTGTTTAACGGAAGGACATGAAAGCAGCAGAGTTCACAAATTTGATACGCAAGCAGTGTTAAGCACAATTAGATAGTCCCAATTTTCGATGAAAATATGAAATACATGCATCTTAATATTTTGACTTGGTCACGAATTTCATCCATAACTAGACCACTTATAGTATTTCACCACCTAATCATTTGTGAACCCGAAGGTCACAGCAGAAGAACATGCACTAATTTTAACTGATAGGTAAATCGAGAGGACAAGTTAATCTCTAACTGATGGGTAAATCTTTCCCCATCAGCATTATGCTCTTACAGAAAGGTAAATTTGAACACATACCTATAAGGGAAAGGAAGATAAGAACACCAGCACCCAACTGAACTGCTTTTCGGCTGCCCATTTTAGTTACAGCAATGGTGTGAACATTTTCGGTTAGGGTGGTTGAGCCAGTGCCTGTGCCCCATAGACCAGCTAAGAGACTAGTAATTCCTTCAAGACCAATGCCTCGACTTAACACACCAGGTGTAGGAGGTCTAGATGCCACTAATAAGGATGCTGCATGATATGAACCAACCTAAAAGCAAAGAAGTGCCACCCAAAATCAGCTAAGAGTATCAACATCTAAGCAGATAAGTACATAACCGTCATGGATTGGCATAATAAAAAAATGGGGTTTCACAAGATATATCACAAGTTTAACCAGTTACCAGACATCAGTAAAACCTACCGAATCCACAGACGAGATGATAGACACCACACACATCACAAGAGCCATTTTCCAGTGAAAGACAGGTGTGCCCCATTGCAAAGGATAAGGAAATCTAAACCACGGAGCAGACTCTAGTGCATGTGAGTCAACCCGACAGTACTTCATTCTGGAAACATGCTTTCTGCAGTGTTCCGATACAATGTTTGAGGTCGGTATGTTCACATCACAACCATTATGGTTATATGCTCCGGTTTTTGTCAAAAGAATTGCCATCACCCATGTAATTGCAAGACCCAGCGGTACCTGTAACATGTATTTGCACAAATAAGTCAAACTGAAGTTGTGTTGCAGCTACTTTAAACTAATTGAAACTGAAGCAAAAAAGAAAACCACAAAAAGGGATAAAATTCCCACTTACCGCATATATCAGGAATATCCGATGACCAAGCACAGAAACTTTACGAAGGTACTGCAATACAGAAGACAAATTGGGAAAGGATTATATTAAAGTTATACTAAAACCAGGGATACCAACAAGGGATAACAGACTACCATCAAATGCAAGTTCAAATTCTGAACTCCATAATGAGAAAATCAGAACTTGTAGCTCTACAAACTTACAAGAGAGAAAATAACAACTAACAATATTTGCACTGCACCAATCTCGACACAGGCACCAACTCGTGGAAAACCATAACTGTAGAAGGAAAGTCCAACTGCAGCAATAGTGGGGGACACAACTACTGGATTAATCAATCTGCAAAAGTTCAAATGTACCATGAGATTGATGTGCTGTGATCCAAATAGAAAACAAAAACTGAAAGTCCGAACCGCATAGTACAATTCTGCTATATGAATGAAACAAAAGAGCATCAACAGATTTACATGTTGACAATCTAATGATTCTAATCACTTGACATGATATCACATCCATCAGATTACCGGGTTACATTCTACAACAAATAACCCTATATTCTAAAGTTTTCATACTGGGCTGTCACCACAAAGTATTCAAACAAGTGAGTGTGAATGTATTATTCCGATATGAGAATATGCATACAATAAGCAAGTATGGCAAAAGTTAAGAAGAATATGCCTCTTTACTATAGACGTAAAACTAGTATAGCTAACTTTCAGATGACGGATATGACAACACCATACTAAAGCAAAAGTTTCTTTTATGGGGCAAACTTTTAATCCTAATGAGACACATAGCAAACAAATCTTTTGCATTTCTTACGTCTATGAAAGATCAGTCAATATATAAAACCTTTGATTTCTAAATCATTGCTAATTGTCGAAAAGCCAAGGCATCTACTAAACCTTTGTTAATGCTGATTTTTGGAATAGCCAACACATCTCAAATTCTCATTTTATTTTTGTATCTTGCAATGACCAGAGCAAACCTAAATGAGAATACGAGTGCTGACCAAATGTGATGGCAAGATACAATGTATACAGTTGAAATTACATAGTATCACTGTACATCGAATTTTGAATTTGGCATTAAAATGTTTCTTTTGAAGCATCTTTTAAAATTCATCCACTTATAAAAAGGCAAGAAGGTCCGATTTCCTATACTGAGCAGGGGGGATTGTATCCTTGAAGATGCAGGTGTAACAACAAACCGTAATAGATCTATTGGTATTGCTTAACAAACAAAGTATTAAAATTCAACTGAGCAACATGTCATGGCTTGTTAGGTTTTCTCCCTAAGCATACTAGTGTACTAAATAGAACCAATTCCCGTGCAACTACATAAGTGATAAGCCTTTAGATTGCATTCTTTCTTGTCCTGTCTCAACAGCCACTACATTATCTATTAAGTTGAAATGAAAAGTTTAAAAGAAAGTGTGAGGAGACTAAGAAAATAATCATTTTAAAAATGAAAAGAGCATCTTGGGGTTTCAGTCTGGATGACAAGCCATGGAGTCCCAATATATGAACCTTGGGTGAGTAGACAATATGCAAGGTAAGCCAATATGATGGATAAGCTCAAACACGTCATAATATTGGACCTTCAACCAACAAATTAATCTAACTTAAAGCTTTCCAAAATACGACCATCCAAGTTAAACCAAATTATGAATGACATCCTGAGAGAAACTGTATGCCTACAAATAAGGAACACTACGCTTCTTATTGGTGAAACAGAGGCTACTCAAAAAACAAAAACTTCTTTTCCAGGAAGATGCATCAAGAATTTCCTACCTCAAGAATAATGACATAAGACCGCTGTATCCAAGGAATACTTGAAATGCTGAACCAATTATTATAGCTCCCTGTAGCTCCTTCATAATATGTTTAAAGTTCTGCAGCATAAAAATCATGGGTTAGCAAGAAAACTTAGAATTTAGAAGATAGGAAGAGGAAATTGAACTTGAGGATTGAGAGCCTAATCAGAGCTCCTAGCAAGTGGTGAAAAGGGGCAATTTGGACATAAGTACCCCTTGCTCGTATTGCTTCTTAGAAGTTTAGCTACAACCAAATAATGCGGGTTGAACTTTTGTTGGTTTCTAAATAACTGCTTGGACCTAGTTGAGAGGTTATATCAAAGATTTTAGGCATTAACTGAATCAACCATCAATATGAAACTTTTGGTACCAAGTTCTTTAAATTTCCATGTAGTTAGAACATAGATTGTCATCGCTTGCAAGATTGGAAGTACTTTCTATGGATCATAATACACCAGCACATCAATCAACTTCCTAGACGCTAGTTTTTTTTATCTCTGTCTATAAGCAGAAATCTCTATATATCTTAATTTCACTGATCAGAGTGGACTGCCGCAAGTTATTTGATGAATCTACAGCAAATTGGTGGAAATTGAAACCATGACAAAAGAACAATAGTAAAAACATTTAACAAGTAACATGTTGATTATAAAAAGAAAAAAAAAACAAGTAATTGTCATTTGTCTGTTCATATAGCTAAAAGCAAGTAAGATGCTTAGGCATACATTTCCATTGAGCCCTAGAAACTCCGAGGAGTTTATTATTGCTAAAGCTGGAGCAAGATACACAAAGGACGGCCCCTGGATTAAGGGCAACCTTGAGCCAAAGGCTGTATGTAACAGAGTCGTCACTCCTGACATGAAAAGCACGGTAGAAACCACATTTGCAGTATCCTCCTGCACCAGAAACTTCAGTTAGAACAAAGTTGTGATAATAACGTAACACAACATATTGATCAGGGGAGAAAAATTTATACAAAATGGTTACAAGTGCTCACACTGTTGCCACCCATTGCAGGTACTATCACTAGAGGGATGAGTATCAGTGATCCCAACATTGAAAGATAGTGCTGAAATCCATATAGGCCAATAGGAACTGACAGACAAGTGAACAAACAAGAATCAGAATCTGCAAGATATTAATGCAAGCAGAGACTTGTAGCAAGTATACTGTGTAAGAATATTTCTCCCCAACGTTGGCACTCCACAAATCCTTAGCATCATAACATAAACAGATAAACCATTTTCCACACAAGATATTGCGGGATTAAAACGTGAAAATGATCAGCTGCTAAACCTTTAGACACAGTCAGAGACAAACACATAAGGCCAACTTGTGAATTCAAACGCGTAAATGGGAGCAAAAAGTGATAATAAAAAAGGAATGCTACAAAAAATTTCTTCTTCGTGCCACAATCAAACTCAAAATAAGCTATCAGGCTTATCCATTAGTACAAAAGCTCACCAAGGCCAGGTGAATCCCGAAGCTCATACTTCATATGTGCATGCCTAGCGATAAAATCATCATCATCCACCACAGACTGCGGCAAAGTATCAACCACCTCATCACTCCTCGACCCCCTCCTATTCCCCGGCCCGGCCCCCGCCTCCTCCCCGCTCGGCGGCGTCTTGCCATTAGCTCTAGGACCCTTCACCGCCGGCGGCGCCGCAGCACCACCTCCACCTCCATCTCCACCATCGGAATCCCTCCTTTTCCTCACTGGTTTCTCCTTGTCATTTTCCTGTCCAGGTCTTTCCGGCACCGGAGACAGTACCTCTCCATTGGAGGTCGGGACGGGCCGAGCTCGGCCGGATTCAAGATCAACACTTGCATCGGCTTCTCTAGGTTTAGGCTGCGGCTGAACCGAAATGGGGCCCGAATCCCCAGCATTGGCCTCACCGGAGAATTTAGGTCGGAAACCAGTCCGTTTTGCCCAAGAAGAAGGTGGCATTGGTGCGGCAGATTCCGGACCCGGTGGCCATGGACCGGGCCTGGGTCGCTTACTCGGGTCGGAACTCGCCATTGTCCTTAAAACCCCATCTTTTACTCCAAACAAACAAAAACCACAAATGGCAGAACAAAAAAAACCAACAGAATCCCAAACCAAAATTACAGATCTAAGCTTAGGGTTCCTCAGCCAACTTCAAAAAAAGATCTGGACTTTATAGCAACTTAGAAAGCAGTGGAGCATAAATTAGAACAGCCCAAAATGTGAGAAGAAAGAGGAGAAAGAGCTTCCGCCTTAAAAATAAACTCAACTCACACTGTGTGAGTGTGTGTAAAAATTGCACCGCAGAGAGGCTAAAAAACTTAAAACTTAAAAAAAAAGAGAGTACAGAGTACAGTTTTAGTGTGTGTGTGTGTGTGTGTGTGTGTGTGTGTGTGTTTTTAAGACAGTGGACAAACAGCAGCAGCAGTAGAGAGTGAAGCGAGTGACCGCGTCGATTACGCTAGAAAAAACTTCTTCTTCACTTTAATACCACTAACGTCAGCAGATCAGAATAGGAATAAAAATATTCATTAAACATTTTATCATTTTCTTTTTGGACCTCTCTAATTTTGTCATTAGTTCATTTTGAGAGTAAAAACATTTCGATAAATTTATTCAAATTATTATTCCTTCCGTCCCAAAATGATCATCCAGTTTGGATTGTTATTATTAATTTAAATTATAAGTGAAAATTCAAACTGAACAATTATTTTGAACTCCTCGAGCCAAAGATCGAACCCTCGACCTTAGTTCCCCTAATTCTACATTCTCATGAAAACCTAAAACTCAAGATTTTAACGACTAAGCAGTTAAATCAGAATCTTGCTCACATTATTTATATTGTACTCCCTCCGTCTCAAAATTATTGTACAATTTAAGTTTTCAGTTATAGTACAAAATAAAATGAAAATGAAAACCCAAACTAGACAATAATTTTGGGATAGAAGTAGTATATTTTTTGAATTTACAATGGTGTAGAGTCACTAAAAAGGGACTAGAGTTAATAAATTTTGATAATGGATGGTTTTAGGAATCAATTCACGATGATTCAATATACTACACACTGTTGGATGATAAGTATTTTTCATACGACAAATAAGCCTGTGATTTAGCAAAGTTTGGAACAGATTAAAATGGGTCCCCCACCTTAATGCAATCTTTGTTCGGATTATTCTTTAATATGGCCGTTGATTCTTGATTGCATTATCCATCCTAATTAATTAATGAATGGTACGTATTAACTACTAGTAACATGCACAATACCAAAAAAAAATCTCATCAAATCTAATGTTGTTTTGACGTTTAACATTATAAAACTCATGGCTAAGTTTGCATTAATTAAGGGAGGATACATCAATTTAGCAAAGAGACCTAAACAGCAGGGGGAGCTAAATAACAAATTGAAGGAGAAAGTTGTCCGTACTGAAATAATACAAATTGAATAATAATTTCAAAACATGAAAAATAACAAATTCGATACGTAGCATTACTTAGGGAATTTTATTTATTTTTATCTGTAATTAGAAAAGGTAATGAAAATGAGTTTGGTTGATTCTTTGTTCACACAATACGACTTAAGGCGATGCTAGGAATATCCATGCGAGGAAATGACATAGTATGTGAAATTGAAATTTGAAACATTGAAAATGTCGCATTCGATTATTTTTACTTTATTTGATAAAGAAAGTATTTATATATTCAATTGCATATAAGGCGGGGTTAAATCAAGTTAACGTCTCTCATATTGCAACCCTTTCAATATAATGCTGGTCAACTTGGACAAGATAAGTCGGTTTTAGAAAGTAGTGTTTCCTTTTCTATAGTTTTCCAAACCAATAAATAATTCAGATGAGTTTATCCTCTTGCTAGAAAGGACGTCAATTTCTTTACAGATTGTAAGAAGAGATTGATAATCAAACTCATTGACATTGTACCTTTTCTTGGTGGGGGTGATGATACATTCAAACTTACGTTTGCGTGTGTTTTTCTTTGTACACAACGGTGTGGTCTTTGGAACTTTTGGTAAGTTTGGTTTTTTCTTTTAAAGTAATTATTAATACAATGTTAATGGTTAATTTACGTAACTTTATATACTTTGAATGTGTTAAAACAATAATTTGAAAGTCGAATGCGCTATATTAAAAAAAAAAACATGCTGAACGTTGAACCTAAAGAACTCATGCCGTACGTATACTTATTAGCTGAACTTTTATACTGCTGTACAAAATATTTTTTTCAAACGTACAAATATATATATATATATATATAAATAAAAGTGCTTAATAGCTGAACTTTCATGGCGCTATCTTACTTAATCAGCCTGAAATGGAACTAAAAGAAACAGTAGCCTTTTTGGGTAGAAGAATAAGCCAGCTATATACACCCAAAAAGAAAACGTAACTCATGTATATATCGATTGAGAACCGAAAATGATGTATGTATTAAAAACGGCCATTTCCATAAAGTAATTTCATCCCCACTCATTATTATCAAATTGCATGCCTTACAAACCCAAATACTATATAAATAGAACCAAAATGGGTCATTGCATAGCTGGAACTTTATCCATATGGATTAACACAGAAATTATATATATATATATATATATATATATATATATATCTTTGTTCGGTGCGTCAAACACAAAGTTTGTTTTTTATACAGAGCTGCGTCCCTGAAATAAAATTCTAATTTCAGAACCTTAGGTTGAGAGTTTGTGTTTGAGAGTTGTATATTATTATTGATTCTCTGTTTCGTAATAATTGTCCGGTTTGTATTTTTATTCTCAATATAAATTATATCAAAACTGAAGATTCAACTAAGACAATCAGTTTAAAACAGAGAATGTATGAATGAGCCTTATCAATAAAGTGATAGTTGGTTTACCAAAAAAAAAAATAAAGTGATAGTTGACAGGTTTGTTGAGACCCATAAAAATTAATCTGATTTCCAAACAGATCAAAACTAAATTGTAGAAAATAGTAAAATCAAGTTGAATTTCAAGATAACTGACTTTTAATTCTTAGTTTTATAGATATACAGTATGGGGGATTTTATTTTTTATTTTTTGAAATAAAATGGCAATTTATAAAGTAAATAAAAAACACTTTTGTTTAAGCAATAATTTCAATTATATTATAGATCACTGACTAAAAAAAATTATTTTTCTACAACTCAAACATTCAACCATAGATTTAATAAGATAACCGTAAAAATTTTATATTTTCTGAAATTATTTGATCTCATCTAATCAGAATTTATCATAATTTAACTGGACATGATAATGTTCTATATTAAACCATAATAGCAATAAAAATTTTGAAAAATTAGTTGAACCAGAAATTAAAATAATAGAAATAACTGTAATTAGAATATCTTTGTCCTATTGATTCTCTAGCTAGGCTAATTATATATGCACATTCAATATGTCACTACTAATATGCATAATCTGCTAATTGCTATTCAGTGGCAAAAGTTTGAGATACGTATGCAACACAAATAATTGGTAACATTAGAAAGAAAACACATGATCAAAAAATTGTCAAACTAATCAAATATTAACTCTCATAAGAATAAATCAAAACCAAAAGATACTTTAATTAAAAATAAAAGAGAATAAAGTGAAACTCGTATTCACATATAATTTGAATCATAAAGAAAACTAGCCACTCATGGTGACTAGAAACATCTATAAAGGTTTTGGGAAAAAAAATTAAAAAAGTTAAAAAAAAACGTGGCAAACTGAAGAAAGTAGCGGGGTAATTCTTTGATATGCAAAGTGAAATCACAAATGCATCCAAAAAGGCTATATTTATAGTGTCTTTTGCCAACTGAAAATTCAAAGGATGGAGATTTGAAAAGTTGAAAAGTTCCGGAAGTTTGACTTGAAAAGTTAACGAGATGTTTGAATTTTTGTAGCCACGATAAAAGTCATATGCAAGCACTCAAGCCACGAAATCAAAAGGGTTGGACCAACAAAAATTCAAATCTAAAATTGATGAAAAGATTAGAAAGATGGAGAAGGTGTTTAAGATATGAATTCAAATGTTAAACTCCCCACAAGCTATAGAACAATGTTGAAAGGTTTGGTGTGCTCAACTAAAATGCCAAATAAAGCATCCACAGACCAAGGTTAGCAACACTTAAAACAAACCTTAGATTTATTGAAAAATAAGTTATTCTCACAAGAATAAGGAAAACAAGAGAGAGACTTCACAAGTTTATAAATAAAATTTTTTATTATTGAAATCATGCTATGTAGAAACACGCCCAGAAACATATTTACAGGCCACAAGTCGGCCTTAGGTCGGCTAAGAAGAAGAGAAATCCGATTACAACTCTTATTCAGATTTCTTGAACTAGAAATTTCCTAAAACTTAAAAATATTAAATAATTAAATACTTGCACATGTAACAATTATTTATTTAGAACGAACTACAATCTTCTAGAAGCTTATATATTCGGCCAAAAACATAAAATAAATAAGGAAAGTAAGAAATATCATTTTGCCAGTTGAACTAGGAAAACGAGCAAATTTTACCCTAGCTTTGTCGACTTATACGATAACCAATAGGTTGCTCGACATATATCGATCGACTTAGTTGTTGACTTATTCATCTCGACCATCAAGTCGAGATTCTTCAGTCAATTTTATTGTCAACTTGATTTTAGTTTGTTGTGAACCATGTTTTGGTTTCAATCTTCCATCATCCTAGATACCACTCTTAACATTATTTCATAATATCACTATGTGATCAAAATAAATATAATGATCATTACAGTTAGAGACTTAACGGACCATCCATGATCACATCAAATAGGAACTGAAATATCTTATCTTAAATCAGCTCTAAAATCTCCAAATAGTGCCCCTTTTTTCAGCATTTTTGTTTTTTAATTTTTTTTTTCAACGGTTTTTTTTTTTTTGGCATTGCCATGGGATTTTGGATGTACAGAACTAACACATTTTTGAACATAAAAGACAAATATATAAACCTATCATACCAAACCTACCAGACCAAAGTTGCCACCAC